CGATTTATTATAATGTTGACGTTTTACATATAAAATCATGCAGTTTATTGTCTTCACATAAATAATCAAGTTAGAAACAAATATAATTGAAAAAACCCAAAGTATTCCCTTCTTCAAAATGGCGGCCGAGCATACAATGTTTTAAAGATAGACATCAAGAACATAAAGGTATGTATAAGCTATTTTTCTTTTATAGCTAAAATGAAAACTTGTATAATATATAGTTGATTGGCTCTAGAGAGGAATAACTGATGAAAATATGAACAAATATAAATATTAAATTTGAAACAGAGCCTTAAAATTAACATCAACATTTGTTTAAAGGAAAATCAAGGGAGATAATCCAAACTCCGGGAAGCAGTTATTTTTCTCAAATGGTATTAGCTTCTCAGAAACATTATTAAAAGTTATTTCAGAAGATATAATCAAGACATTTAGCACAAAAATCATTTGCTATAATCGGAAAAGCAACATTTGTATCTGGACACATGTCAACCATATTTCTATCAACTGTTACTATTCGCAGGTGACTATTCTCAACTGAAGGTGTCCTATGTAGATCACAGATGGCGACTTGTTTGCTATGTATGGAACCAGTTAACCTGGACAAACCCCAGGATTATGTGAAGTTGACAGCAAAATGCTGCTGTAAATTCGATGCACCAGACATCATATACAACTGTAGCCTGTTGGTACACAGACAGTGTCGAAGTATGCATATAAATCCAAAGGCAATCAAAGTAGCTGAAAACTTTTTGATCATATGTTTAAGCCTTAAATTTTAAAACTCACTGTTTTCTATGTGGTACTTGTACAAACATCCATATAGAAGTGTACTTCAGCCATGCGATGGCTCTTCAGTTACTCAACATATGTCTGCAACATACTGTGTCAACAGGCAAGATGATTGGGCCAAGATGGTACAGTCAAGTATTGTGCCCACATACGATCTACCAGCTGAAGAAGCTATCCATCACCATGCTTGTGATAAGAATTTTCGGAGAGAGACAAGTATACCTGCAGCTTATATTGAACATGGGGAGGCTCCACCAAAGAAACGGAGACTTGATCGACTGAAGTGTATGTCCTAGATGGCAGCATTTGAGATTGCCATTTATTACTTGGAAGAGAATGATGATGAAACGATTCCTTTGGACATTTTGCATCACATTATGAAGTCAGTGAGTGCACTGAGTGATGATCAACTACACACTACATCTCAGCTGAAAAGGGAATTCATGAATTACTATGGGAACAAGGTATTCATAACTAATCAGGCAACAACCTAACATTGCATCTCTTACGGCATATGAAAATGTTGCAAAGGTGGACAAATCTGACATGGACAGTTTGATTAAAGTTGGAGGAGGATACGTTCATACGCAGGTAGAGAGCGTGTCGAAACATGTTCATGTGTATCTCGACAATGAGCAGATGGCATTGATTGACACCAATCTTGATTACCTCCCACATGCATTACGCATCCTCCTTCAAGCTATCATCAAGAGCTGAGCTGCGTCATTGGGTCAGGCAATAATGCATTCGAAATGTCCCCATCATTTCTGCCTCCACGACAAGTTTGACAAAGTATCACACTATAACACATATATGGTCATCGTAATTTAGTGGATATGATAAGCCAACTCGGTTTCAGCTCCTCGTAAATTTAGAAAATTCTCGGTGACCACTCATGGTGTTCACCTAATCAGAGTGAGTGAGTGAGTATGGTTTTACGCCGCTTTTAGCAATATTCCAGCAATATCACGGCGGGGGACACCAGAAATGGGCTTCACACAATGTACCCATGTCGGAAATCGAACCCGGGTCTTCGGCGTGACAAGCGAACGCTTTAACCACTAGGCTACCCGACCGCCCCTTCACCTAATCAGAAACATTGCAGATACATTCGTGCAATACCAGACTGGTTATATAGATCATGCCAGCAAAAGGTTTGATGGGACTGGCTCAATCCATGCCATGGGCGAGATGGTGAGACGGAGGGTACCAAGAGTTAAGGTGGACTTGGATGATGTTAAAAAAATCAACAGTGTCAAACCATTCTCACAAAGAAATCCAAAGGCAGTGCTGGCGAACATTATCTATTCACCAATTGGTGACTTCTGTCTTGATGAAAAGAATAGCAAACTAGATAATTTGTGGAGTGCGCCACTTCTGTGTGTGTTGACCACTGTGTTCCGGTTGCATGCAGTTGCTCCATTCTGACATTCCATACCCCAGGAAGAGCTCTGAGATATTCTTGTCGATTATCAACGTGACACCAAGTGACGAATCCTGTGTCAGATCAACGCTGGAGTATATTTCCAAATATGCCAGACGACATGGAATCTCACCGGTTATTACAATCGACCAGCAACTTTGGTGAATTGCATACATGATCATCGAATCACGGCCAGCTGAGAGCCCCTTGCATCAAATAGCCCTGGTCTTGGGGGGGATTCCATACTTAGATGAGTTTTGTGGGTACAGTTTGGAATCTGATGGCTGGATCTGGGTTAAAGGAGATCATCACTCAAGTATATTCAGAGGGTAGTGCAGATCAGATGTTGTCCGGCAAATCAGTGTCACAAGCTGTGCGGGCTCATTTCTTGAGGAACCACTTCTGCAATGCTCTTATCGTGTTTGATGGTTATTGTGGTGTTTTTTTACCAAGGATGAGACCCATCAGAGAAGAACTGGAAGTGAGATTGGAGTGGATGTGGATTTCACACCAGACTTGATTCTGAAAATGAAGAAAAAGCCCTTTTGGCAAATGAAAGAAACAAACAGAAATTCATCACTCTGTTGGTGTCAAAAATCGAAAAAGGTGGGTTTTCAGATTAAACACTCATCCGGAGATGCTGACTATGACATTTCAATGTCTGCCTGTACATCGGCTCAAACACAGCCTGTGGTAGTGGTAGGGAATGACACCGACCTTCTCATCCTGTTGCAATATCACTTCAGACCCGATACCATGAGGCCATCTTTCTTCAGACAAGTACAAAGATCACTGACATCTTCATCCTACAGATGATCCTTGATCCTAATCTCAACCATTCTTTGCTCTTTGTACATGCATTGTCAGGGACCGACACAACATCGAGGCCATATGGCATAGGGATGGTCTCAGGAATATTCAAAGGTTTTCATGGTGACAGGTGGAAACCATGCAGAAATCGAGCAGGCTGGTAATCAGGCACTTGCAATCCTCTGCGGCTGTATGCCTGGCTTGGATTTGAATTCTGAACGTGTGACAAAATTCACTGAGAAAGTATGTATCAAGCTCAAATTACCTACCTCTTCGACACCTTCCACCGACATCAGATGCTGCCAGATTGCCTAGCCAACGAGTCTGACTCCAAGTGCAGACCTGACTAGGTAACAATATGGATGCGACAGAATGGGGCTGGACGCTTCACAAGAGCAACAAGGGCACTATATTGAAACCAATCACAAGGCACCAAGCTGTCACTCCTAAATTTCTGTTGAAAATAATCAGATACAATTGCACTGGAAAGTGTGATGAAAACACATGCTCATGCAGACAAAAATTGTTTCCAATGTACCTCAGCATGTGGACAATACAAAGGGATGACATTTTCAAATGGACCAAGTCATGACTTTTCTGACATTACTGAATAATCGTCTCTTCATGTCCAGAATATGAGTGTGAATATAAAGACTGTCTTGAACTTTAGACATTTAAATTGATAGTTAGTTTGACTTGTAAACTGTAGTATTGCAGGGTTATTCCCTCTTTATAAGCCCGTGTTAAGTATTTTGTAGTCCGATATGGAACAATTGCATTTTTTTCACATTTCGGGCAGCCGTAATTTATTTCTGTGTTAGATTTCACTTTAAAATTGTTAAATATATATTCCCCTGTCTTAATCCTATGAAGTTGATAGGGCAGGGGAAACCAGAAATAGGACATAGTACCCATGTGGGGAATCGAACTCGAGCCTAGGACGCGACAGTTGAACGCTTTAACCACTTGGCTACCCCACCGCCCCTGAAACCTGCAAAGAATAGACCAGTGGCTACATGTGCACAACAAATAGTCACAATTGCGTGTCTGATATGACAATGTCTTCATGTATGTAGCCATATACAATAATCTATGTCTTCAAGAGAGTCTTATGAATTATGTTGCACGCTTGGAGAAATACCCACTCACTCAGTTGGTTATAATGCTGCGATGTAAGTTATGACACGAATGCTCACAGCGCACTTGTTCACATATTGTAGTATGACATTAGCTAGCCTTATAAGGACGTCACGTGACCTGTAGGCGTACATGTGGCTCACTATATGTTGTCGTATGTCTGCTCAACACAACACTTGACACAGACCCAGCCTTATCTGTCTGTAGTATCGGGTTTCACCAACTGTCAGCTGTGGGCTTCACAATTAACTTATACGTGGGCGGACATTTAAAAACTGCCGGCCGGTGTCTGTAGATGTATACATGTATGTAGCAAACACAACACATTGCCTTTCTGCGTGTGCGCGCGAGTGTACGTGTACGTGTTCGTGTGCGTGTGTGTGTGTGCGGGTGTTTACATATTCCCCCTCTTTCACTGCCAAGTAGCTTTTTGATTAAACGTTTTATTAAAATAACTGGATTGCTGTTTTTTGTAAAATATGTTTTTTGTAGATATTTGTGTTTAAAAGTAATAGCACATATCCTATTTCAAATACGCTCCATCAATATGCACATTAAATACTGCACAAGAAATGCCTACACAACGAGAAATATTTCCATAACTAAAATAACTTAGTTCAACATAAATAAGCTTCATGCATAAAAAAATATTGCATATACTGTTTACAATACGTTCCATCATTATGCATATGAATTATTTGCAAATTTTCTATGAACTTTGTTTTCTTGAATATTGTCCGCATCGTTGCGCTGTAGCCCAGCTCGACAGTAGTAACAGTGAGTGGTAGGTCAGATAACGTTGTATATCCTGCAGCTAGCCGTGCCCACAGCAATACTAGTGTCGGGGATACGTACACACGGGGTTTGTCACCGAGATTGTTTCCGTCAGACCCGGGAACTGACTCGGTGCACGAACACAGGTACCTAATAACACACTCAAACTGCATCACGCAGCAGTTTACCTGTGGCGTAATGACAGGTAGGCGCTTTATGTCCTTTGGGGTGGCATTTCAAAAGTTATGCATTGCGTTGAATCAACGCTTTATTGATTCAACTTTTGTATATTTACTGAATAACACTGTGAGCTATCTGCATTGAATACAGGGCACTGTGTGTTGTTATGATGAAATGTATAGTTTATATAGCGATTGTGTAACGGCAATGTACGATTGTGTGTTCGTCTTTTAATGTTCGGGGAATAACCGGTCCTCCCTTGTGCGTGACTGAGCGTTACATGTTGAACACAATTGGTATTTCAACCTGAAAATATGTGCGTATACCACCCTTTAGAACTGACAAGGGTGCGGTCATGTTTTAAAGGGGTGGTGTGGTGATGGTTGTGGTGTGTGTGTGTGTGCGCGTGCGTGTGTGTCTGCGCGTGCGTGTACATATGTCTATTCATGTCGAAATTGGGTGGTCACATTCGGTTATCTCTCTCTCTCTCTCTCTCTCTCTCTCTCTCTCTCTCTCTCTCTCTCTCTCTTCTCTCTCTCTCTCTCTCTCTCTCTCTCTCTCTCTCTCTCTCTCTCTCTCTCCAATGTATGTTTAAATCGAGAAGTCAGATGCTTGAAGCGTCTATGATTACCGCGACATTTTTTTGCAGGTATGCTGTGTAGATGTGTATTGCCGCGGTTGCCACCTTATGCAAATGTGACATTGAATCAACAGTGTGCATACCTGTGCTTGCAGGGGACAGGTGCGCGGCGTTCTGGCGGAAGTAGCTAGTTACCCTTACCTGGTGGAGATATGCTGAGGTATGTGTATTGGGTGGTCACATCATATTTGTTTCACAGTTTATAACGTGTGTGCGATCAAATCGCCCTCGCTATAGCATGGGGAAGGGGGGGGGGGGGGTGTCTATTTGCGTGTGGTGGTGTATAGATGTGTATACGTGTGGGTGTGAGTGGGTGTGTATACACGCACGTGTGGGTCTTTCTCTGTGATGTGTGTATGTCTCTCTCTCTCTGTGGGTGCTCATGTGTGCGTGCGTATATGTGCGTGTCATATGGGTTTAGATGGGTGTGTTGTAGTGGATGTGCGGTTATTGTGTCGTTGGTGATACCGCTAGGTCAAGAGTGATGGGTGGGTTGGTTGTGGACAGGAACTCACTTCCCTGTTGACACTTGGATTGTGCAATGGGGCTACATCTCGACAATGATAGATAGATCCGTGCGTGTAAGGGTTAATTACGTTCTCAGCAAGATTTGGGCATCACATTAATAACTAGGCAAAACCCGATCCCAGACTGAAGAGTGAGTGAAGTAAAATGCCTCACACATATTGAGAGAGAGAGAGAGAGAGAGAGAGAGAGAGAGAGAGAGAGAGAGAGAGAGAGAGAGAATTGGGGGAATGAGAAACGGAATGTGGTATGGTGTTGTCAAACCAACAGTGACGGATGTTTATGTGGACTTAGGTACACTAGTCAAAACAATGTACCAGTGACAATAATATTACAATATATAGAGGGTCCAACTGTGCCCCACGCAGCCAGTCTGGTGGCGTTGTCGACTAGATAAAGCTAGAGCAAGTGCTAGAGCATGTGCTTCACTTATGCATACGGGTCCGGTTAATCAGAGGCCTGAATAGTCTGGACACTGTTAATCCGGGCACCCTGTCGATGGTCGGGACCCAAAAACTCCATATAGCGTTTGATACAGACGCCGGCTAGACCAGAACCTGTAAGTGAGGAACCTGGATAGTAATGGCGTGGAGTCCGATCACTGTTATTACAAGCTCTAGATAATCGGGGCATGCTACTCTGCAGGCTTGATAAACTAGACACTGTCAGTATGGGACATCGAGAGCCCAGATCCTGCTACAACGAAACCCGGCAAATTCGGACTCTCTCAATCCGAAATGTTGCTTGTTAATCCGGATCCTCGCTATACTGGCCCATGCTTTAACTCTAAACACTCCAATATAGAAGACAATGATACTTGAACCTGTCTATCAAGATTTACGACAGTATCGCCTTTGACACAGTCAAGACTGATACCTTTTTTCATTGCGTCGTGTTTCACATGTGTACTTGACTAGTAGTGTTAGCAGTGAGGAAAGATTTGGGATCGGTTTATATATTTTGCTGATTCAACATGCAGTTTTCCTCGAGAATGACGACAGCTTGCTCAACCATAATACCAGTATCTACATCAATGCCCCACTGTGTGGACAAGGTCAGGTTGTCATGGTGTCATGGTGTCATGGTGTCCTGCCACAATACAAACAAAATATACTGAACAGTTCCTGTGACATTGAATAAGATTTAATGCAAAGTGATGTTTTTTACCAAATCTGAAACGATTTCGGTTTGCAACAGATAAAAGACCCTGTAAGTGTTCGAATGGTTTAATTTGCCATAATGGCTTCAGAAAATGCGTGATTTAATCCAAATGTCCACCTGTGGTTGGGATGCAAGCAAACACATCTTCGTCTCATGGAATGGACCAGGCGTCGCACAAAGTCCTGTGGGATATCTGTCCATATCTGCTGGAGCATGTTTCGAAGTTCCTGGAGTGTCTGTGGAACACGTGGTTGACGTCGAAGGCGCCGATCGATCTCATCCCACATGTGCTCGAATGGTGAGAGATCAGGGGAGCGAGCCGGCCAGGGGATGACATTCACGTTGTTTTGTTGAAGAGATTCCTGAACAAGTCGAGCAATATGAGACCTGGGCCATGACGACGCAAAAACGGTAGAGCAACAGGGCCGATGATCTCGTCGCGGTAGCGCTGTCCATTTAGATCTTCTTCCATAACACAATGATTGACGTAACGTTCACCTCGACGTCGGTACATTCGAATTCGTCCATCGCTGTGTCCGAGGTGAAAACGAGACTCGTCAGTGAATAGAACTTGTCCCCACTGCATGGCTGTCCAGCGTAGACGCTGTCTGCACCACTGTAGACGTGCTTGACGGTGGTTTCCTGTCAAAATGGGACGTCTGGCGGGTCTTCTGGCGACAATCCCTGCACATCTGAGGCGACGACGTACGGTTGGTGAAGAAATTCGTCGAAGGCCAGGTATGCTTCTTGCAGTCACTGTTGCTGGCTGGAATCGATTTCGTAGGTGTCTTGTTCGAATCCAGTTGTCTTGTCGATTATTGGTTACACGTGGCTGCCACTCCGAGGATGGTCTCTGACTGCATTCGTCTGTTGCCAACGTTGCCATAAACCCCAAATGGTGTTTCTGTGGATGTTAAATTGTCTTGCAACATCACGTTGACTCGATCCTGCTTCAGTCATACCAATGGCTCGCAGACGCTCATTTTCGGACAGGCGTGACATTTCGTAATGTTGAATAATTGCGTAATTTTGTGGTTTTTCTGAGTGGTTGTTGTCAGCACAATGCTAAACAATGCATATGGAATCCCGTTAACGCACATGTTTTTATACCCATTCTATGGTAGTGAAATGCATGGGGCATGCATAAAAGTGAACTTTTGCATCGAATGCATGCTTTTCTGTAGCAGTTGCGTTTTTGTGACTTGAATCCATACATGTACTACAAAATTGAAGGCCAAACTTTTTTGTTTGAAAAATACACTAAAATATTGGTGTCACAGGAAATTTTGTTGTTGAGTATGTAATCATCTCTTGTGCATATCAGTATAAGTTATCAGGAAGCCGTTTTGTGCACGAAGTCCTACAGGGAAGCAATACATTTCGTAAGGAAACACGTTACTTCTTTTAAACTTGATATCCTTTAAATAAATTCCTTTTTGCAAATTTTGATTAACTCATTAACATGGAATATCGGTGATCAGTTATATATATAAAATATAATTATAATAAAAATTGAAATATCTACGTGAATGTGTAGGGCTATGTATCCGGAATTTCCGTTGCTGGTTGATAACCATTGTTACAAACAATTTGGCACAATAAAGCTCTAGATGTAGATACTCTGTGAGAAATACTTATTGATTTCAATTTTATGAAAATATCCGGCAAGCTCTTAAATAAATATATCATGGCCCAACCGCGAACAGGGTGAGAGAGGGGTATTTGTGGAAATCAATTGCCAAGGCTTCATATTTATTACGGGGCGGTCGGGTAGCCTGGTGGTTAAAGCGTTCGCTCGTCACGCCGAAGACCCGGGTTCGATTCCCGACATGGATACAATGTGTGAAGCCCATTTCTGGTGCCGTGATATTGCTGGAATATTGCTTAAAGCGGCGTAAAACCATACTCACTCACTCACTCATATGTATGACACTGGGACAGTCTCCATTATATTACAATATCATAAGTAAATAATGTCTTAAATTAACTGTAATAGTTTGTGTCATATGAATGGTGAGTGAGTTGGGTTTAACAGTATTTCAGTTGTATCCCGAACTATCATAGTTTGTTTGTTTGGGGGGTTTGTTCTTTCATAGTTTAAAGCGCACTCAGCAATCTTCCAGCTATATGAGGGCGGTCTGTAAATAACCGAGTCTGGACAAGGAAATCAAGTGATTAATATCATGAGCATCGATCAACCAAGTCAGAGAGCATGACCACCCCATCCCATGTGTCGCCTTTTACGACAAGCACGAGTTGCTGAAGGCCTATTCTAACTGACTGTAAAAGTCCCTTTTCTCGGAAATATGATTCTGACCCGGATCTTCACGGCAGAACGAACTATCATAAAGATGAAGAGAAGCCTTAACGTCGCATCTATACGACGACTAGCAAATGTAAGTGTGTAATATCTTGTGATCACAAAATGCACATTCCTTTAAAAACAAGCTGTATCCGGTCTTGTCCTTGTTGCGTGTGTTTGGACCCCATAGTGACTACGGTGCGTTATAGGTTCTCAGTGCTTAATGTTTGTGGTTTGATCCGACTAAAAAATGGATCAGGTGGTTAAAGCGTATCAACTTGTGGCAAGTCGTTTTCACATTTATTACGGAATTACTGATATCTTCAATTATATTAAAGATATCGGTATTATATTTAAAGGTATCATGCAATAATGCTTTTTTAAGATATCTATAAATAATTGAAGATATCTTTAATTAATTTCTGATATTCAAAATACAATCTTAAAATGTTAGTGATATCAAAAACATATCTCGTGATATCTCTAAATGTATTTAAGATGTCATTAAAACACTTACCATCGTGCAGTATAATAATTCGAGATATCAATACATGATATGAGGATATCAATGTTCTTTCAAGATATCAGGAATTGGATCACTGATACTATAAAACACTTAATTTTTTATATCTTTTAATCACATTATGATAGCTTTAATCGAATTTAAGATATCAGTGATTCTTTCCAAGATATAAGCAATATGCTTCATCATATCTTTCATTCATTTCGTGATATACATTTTATTGCAAATATCTATAATTACCTGTATTTAAGATATCTTCAATTCAAGACATCTTGATTTCAATTCAAGTTATCTCTAATTTATTTCAATTTTATCTTTAAAACAACTGAAGATACCAGTAATTCCGTTATAAATGTGAAAACCGCTTGCCACAGATCGTTGCTAGGGTCGAATATTTACGGGCCGTCGAGTGACAAATATACTGATGGAGACGAATAAAGGAACAATGATAAATATAGGGAAATAAGCTTTTCTGTCAGTACACTTGAAATAGCGCGCATACAAATTCAACACTTGAAAGAATCAATTGTTGAGGTGTGTTTGTGTGCATTGTTTCCAACGCGTATTTGGTAACCTAGGCTGGGAACCCATGATAGCATATCATGTTACTGTGTCTAAAACTAACTGTTCCCTTATTCATTTCCATCAA